ACCCAACCACCACATATTCCCGTCTCGACGCCCCTCCTGAAGACAAATTATGCATCATCGAGCTCCCCATGGACGCCAATTCAAGTTTCTATTTGGATTGTGGTGTCTTTATCCAATGTTTCTTTATTGAGAAAAAGAAAATATATACATCATCGTCCCCTGCATTTATTTTCAAGGAAAACATTTCTCAATGTCGACACATAGACCACCATCTCCCGCGAATTCAAACATCCTCCTTTTATCCTCATCGACTCATCACTACATAAAACCACTTTGGAATAGCCAAAACTGCTTTGGAACATTTGGAGGTGTGGTCTGCATAGTTTTGACAATTTAATAAGTGCCGAGTGAAGTTTGGTCGTGCAATTTGCTCCGAGAAAAAACAGTTTCAAAAACGTAGTAGTACCACACATTTATTAGGATAACGTTCTGACTTATAGATTAAGCAAAATATGCAGTTTCTGTAGTACTGAACACCATTTTATTCTATTGTAAACAATGTATTGCTAAGGGCATCTCCAGCCGCGCCCCAACAGCCTCCTCAGGCCACTTTTTCGGCGCCGGCGCCGAAAAAACGGCCTAGTCGCGCCCTTAAGACGCCGAAAATCGCCGGTTCGGACCTTTTTTCCGCCCGGCGGTTATAGGCCGAATCCGGCGTGCTGGGGAGCAGTTGGGGGCTCCGGCGCTAGGGAAAAGCACGCCTGGCCCACACCGATATGGGAAAAGTCAAGGTTTTCTTTCCCCGACTCGCCTTGCACCCCCCGCGCCCTCGGCCACCACTAGCTATATCCCGGCGACGGCCGCCGCCCTACTCCGGTAGATAGCCATTCCCCGCCGGAAATAGCAGCGCTTCGCCGCGGCAGCCCCTCCCACAGCAGCTGGGCGTTTCCGGCCGCGGAGGCGCGGTTTAACGGCGGGTACACGCCCACCGAGCGCAAGGTGTTCGACGTTTTGCCTGTCTCGGCGATGGACTCGGATGAGGAGGAAGAGCTCGCCGCGCTGCTGGAGGAGGAAGCCGCGGCCGACGTCCAGGAAGAAGAGCATCTCATGGTGCTCGCCGCCCTCGCCGAGCTGCTGGCGAGCAATGAAAAGCCGCGGCGAGGTGGCTCGGCGCCGGGGCGGGTGAAAGCAAAGAACCGACATCGTCTCCAAGGCTACTGCATGCTCTACTCCGACTACTTCGCCGATGCTACACTTCATGGCGAGAGAACATTTCGGCGCCGTTATCGGATGAGCCGAAAGCTCTTCCTCAGGATTGTGAATTCCATCCGGGAGTTCGACAACTACTTCAAGTGCAAGATGGATTGCACTGGCGCTCTTGGATTCACCTCCATCCAGAAGTGCACGACAGCGATGAGGATGCTTGCATATGGAGCTCCCAGTGATTCACTCGACGACTATGGGCGCATGGCCGAGTCCACCAGCATAGAGTGTTTCTACAAGTTCTGTCAGGCAGTGGTGGCAGTGTTTGAGCCACAATACTTGAGAACACCCAATGCGGAAGACACTGCTCGGATCCTAGCCCAGGAATGCAGCAAGAGGATTTCCTGGGATGCTTGGAAGCATCGACTGCATGCATTAGAAATGGAAGAACTGCCCATTTGGTTTGCATGGGATGTACAAAGGCGCCAAAGGCGGTTGCAGTGTGGTGCTTGAGGCGGTAGCCACACAGGACCTCTGGATTTGGCACTCCTTCTTTGGTATGCCAGGAACTCACAATGACATCAACGTGCTGCAGTGCTCTTCTGTTTTTGCCAAGCTCGTTGAGGGCCATTCTCCTCCGGTGAACTTCGAGATCAATGAGCACGAATACAACAAGGGGTACTATCTAGCTGACGGCATCTATCCGAGATGGTCGACATTTATGAAGACGATCTCAAACCCTGTGGCAGGAGGCGAGAACGCCTGGTTTGCGAAGCTTCAGGAGGCTTGCAGGAAGGATGTCGAGCGGGCATTTGGTGTGCTCCAATTTCGATTTGTTGTTGTTCGGTACCCCGCTCAGACCTGGTCCAAAGATCAAATGTGGGAGATTATGACTTGCTGTGTCATCTTGCACAACATGATCATCGAGAGCGAGCAAGAAGAACCAGTGTTTGACACTGAACCATACTACAGGCAGGGTCCTCTAGCCGAAGTTGATCACCAGCTACCGGCAACTTGGACTGCCTATCTCAGTATGCGCCAGGAGATCCGAGACCCACAGATGCATCATCAACTGCAGAAAGATCTGATTGAGCACCTATGAAGGCTCAAGGGGGACGCCGTGTGATGAAATACGAGTTTTTATTTGTTGAACTATATAATTTGTATTGAACTATTTGTTGTTGTACTATTTTGTTGAAGTATTTGATTTTTCTGTGATAAAATATGTGATAAGAAATAATTGTGTTGATAATTGAACGCTGAGACACGACGAAACCACGCCGAATATGGGTCTATTCTCGCCATATGGGCCTTTTATTCGTCGAAATTGGGCTGCAAAGTGGGCCAATTTCGGCGCCTGGGGGCGAGCTGGGGGCGACGACTGGGCGCAAAACCGTCCCTAGCGCCGAGTGTATCGCCGGCTCGGGGATGATTTTTATGCGTCCTGGGAGGGCCAACGGCTGGAGATGCCCTAATCAAATGTCTGCTTTTGAATTTCACACAAATCACTGTGGCCTCTGCATTTCTTTTATTGACATATGTGGGCTCTGCTTTTGGACGCCAGAACCAAAAATTCCGCGGAATCGCACGGGACATGACGCGGCGTCTCCCCATTTACTACTCGGGGAGACTGAGCACGACCCGTCGTGACGCAGACGCAGACGCCGTTCCAACCCCGTCGTCTCGTCTCTTCGCCATCTCTTCCCCAACCCGACAAGCGCGCAGCAAGTCTTTTCTTCCCCCCTTCTCTCCTCCGCCGGAACTCTCTCTCTCTCGGCATTGGGACTGCGCACTCCATCGCGTCCACCCCCTTTCTCTCCCCCCTTCTGCGGCCTGCGGGTATGGATCGGGAGCACACTTAAAAATCCAGCACGTCCACCCACCTCATGCGTCGTCGGTAGGGGCATATTTCCTAGGCTCTACCAACCTTGGATTCTTCCTGGGCCTCTCGCCGCTTCCCGTGATCGGCCGCATTGTGTTCTGGCCGGGGTGTCCTTGGAGTGGCCCGCGGCCGCGTGAGTGGTAATTAGTGCGCGCTTTCGGCGTTCCTTGTTTGCTCCTGCCCCTGTCTGTGCTCTTGTCTGGATTTGGTAGCGGGGAAGCAATTGGACTGATCTCGTCTCCTTTTCTTGGTGGATTGTCTGTAGGTTTCTACTTCGAGAAAGTTGCCTTTTTTCCGTGCGGGCGCAATGGCGAACGACGGCGAGCTGTCGGCGGTAGCCGCCGCCGCCGCCGAGCCTGACTTGGAGCGGGGCCGCGTCGGCGGCGGAGGAAAGCGGCCAGGCGGGGAGAGCTCCGTGGAGGAGGAGGAGCAGGGGGAGGGGAGCCAGCGCTTCTCCGACGCCGAGGACCGGTCATGGCACTCGCGCCAGAACTCCGCCGCCCTCGAGGACCGCGCCTCGACGTCCGCGTCCGTCCGCTCCTGCGCCGGCGCCGCCGCAGGGGACGGGGACAAGGAAGGCGAGGCCGCGGCCGGGCGCGACAGGAAGTCGTGCGTGTCGGAGTGCTCGCTGGACGACGTGGACCTGGAGGCCGGGCCGGCCGCCGAGATCACCAAGGCCAGCCCCGACAAGGACGAGATGAACTGCCGCATCTGCCACCTCGGCCTCGAGAGCGCCGCCGCCGAGTCCGGCGCCGGCATCGTGCTCGGCTGCTCCTGCAAGGACGACCTCTCCTGCGCCCACAAGCAGTGCGCCGAGACCTGGTTCAAGATCAGGGGCAACAAGTAAGCCCATCCATCCGCTCCCCCACTTCCATTTTCCTCACCTGGATAAAAGAGTGCCATGAGCTGTCAGTGTTCACGCACAACAACTGAAATAAAAATGTTTTCTACGGCGAGTTCGGTAAAACTGCAAACCTGTCATCGTTTTGTTTATCAGGATAATAGATGCCTGCAAAAGATAACATCTGGATGCCTGAACACGATTGAGGAATCTTTAGCAGGAACACGATTGTGGAATCCTTAGCATTATTTAAGTAGGTTGCAAGGAGGTGAGAGGGGACAGTGTAAAAGTTGAGTATGATCGAACAGTAGGCTACAGTAAAAGGCTTAGGAATCCCGGTATGATGGGTAAAGTCAGATTCCTTCTTCCGGCCGCCTTTTCTCGCAGATTCTTGTGTAATTCTCTTGATATCCGTAAGTGGAAGTGTTCACCTTTCTGTTTGATTTTTGTGGAAATGCCTTTCTGGTGGTTAGATTCTAGAGGGGGCTGCTATTGTGTCACCTTCCACTAGCTAGGTATACTTCATGAGAATTGGCCTACAATCACAACTCACTGCTCTATGGGTGTGTTTGGCTTTTGCCCAATATTGCACTACCAAAAGTTTTGCTAGCCAAAATATTGGTCAAAGGTTTTGCTTATCCATGAGTTTACCGGCATTGGCGGAAAAAGTGAAGCAGAATTTGCATGCAAAAAAGTTGGTAACAATCCAAAAGGAGATATTCCCACATGAAGGTTTTTCTTTAAGTTCATGTCAGAAATTTGAGAAGTGCGCGAAAGTTATAAGCAGTACACGTTTAGCAGGAATAGTTATTTAGCAGCCGCCTCGTTCAAGTTTCCAGAATTAAGCATGGTCCACCCTGTTTTCTGAGGGCAAGATTTCGCCCATTGTCCTTACAACGATGCTAATGAATTAGTGCAGGAATTCTATTTGACAATGGTTGTAAAAATGAAGTGGGAAGAAGATAAAGGCGATACAACAGCTGTAAAAAGAATGGGGCTACATATTCTAATCTGCCACAATAACTTCGGAACGTGATATTATCTTTAAGCAATTACTTAAATATGCCTTTCGGAGTGCAAGCTTCATCGAAAAGATAGCAACAAGAGCCTCTTTAAAATTTAAATGCAAAGAATTGGAATGGATATGCAACCTATTTTCTGTCTGAGTACATTACTGTCTTAATGAAGCTATTCTAGTGAGGGCTATGCTGTCTTTTGCCGAAAAAACCTTTTCTCTCATGTGATCTTATTACATTGGCTAATGTTTTGGTTGAAGTTGTTAAATGCGGAAGATCTTTTACCTTGATATTTGTGTTGTTTTTGCATAGAAGCGAAGACACTATTGAAGTGAGACCATGTTCTTATGCATGGTACCATATTTAGTTTAAGAGTCAAGAAAAAAAATTGGAAGTTACTACAGCCCCCTGACCAAATCACAAACATAGTATTATTGTCATCTATTGAGTTGATATTTCCCTTCGATCTGAATTCAGATGTAACTGGCTTAGGCCTTTCCACTGCCTACTGTACTGTCCGGTGGGTCAGTGCAATATTGCTATTGTCCGTGCGTTACCCTCTGAAGGGACATTAGCAAAACTGCATTTCATCATTTTACTCTTGAGTTATAAGCATAACCTCGTTTCGTGTTATTTGAATGTGGGTAAATTTATTGAAACATGTCCCTGTCTTTCCTTGTCTTAGGATTTGCGAGATCTGCGGCTCGACGGCATGCAACGTGGTTGGCTTCGGTGACGCGGAGTTCATGGAGCAGTGGAACGAATCGGGCAACTCCGCAGCTACGCAGGCGCCGGCGAACGAGACGCGGAGGTTCTGGCAAGGCCACCGGTTCCTCAACTTCCTCCTGGCCTGCATGGTGTTCGCCTTCGTCATATCCTGGCTCTTCCACTTCAACGTCCCCGGATGAGCCTCGTCGTGCCGACTTGTTAATAAAAAGAGCTTCAAAGACGTTGCTACTGGGAAAATCGTGGGTCGTGTCAGGTCAAAAACTTGAAAGGCAATCTGGGTGGGAGTGAGCCGAAGAGCTGGGTGGTCATTGTTGAAGTGGAGGTGAAATATTGGTGAATGGTGTCGTTAGTTTTGTAGAAAGTTGGCGGTGTTGCACTCAGCAGAGACGGAAGAGGGGCAAATTTATGGGGAAAATGGGGGCGTGGTGCGCATCATGCTCTGTGATTCTCGTGCTGGGTGGCTTAATTAAATATTGTTAGCAAGGTTTGAACAGGTCCGGCGTTGATGTTCCTGTCAGATGTTCTCCGTTTGCTTCCGTTATTTTCTTCTTGCAACTCAAACGGCGCATGTTGTGTTTCTCACCCAACTGATGGACTGAACCTCTGTCAGCGACTCAGATGGGAACCAAATGTGTGTCGTAAATGGTTCCTTCTGGGATCCTGGCTCGTGAACGACTAGGGAAGTCAAATGACCCAACGTTTATTAGCGAATCGATGCACCCCGGCTGAGAGATTTTCCAGTGTAAAAACTGGGGAAAATGACCCAACGTACTAGTAAGGTGTAGCCAGCAGGATTCAGGAGGACTGCGTGGGCACGCGGGCACCCCAGCATGAGTCAATAGCATATCTCACTTTTATTTTCGCCACCCGTCACCACGTGTGACAGCGCCGAGGATGCCATGCGATGCCATCATCGGCTGGGTCAGCCACCGGCCACTTGTCGCGCCGCAGGCTGCACATGTCATTCAGTGCACACACGCACGGCATGAGCCTTCACCGTGGGGGCAAAATTTTGTGTTTTGAGCCTTTTTTAAAATCTATTCGAGATCTAACCTTAGTTTATTTTTTTTCGAGATCTGACCCTTCTACTATTGTCGGGGTCCATGGTGGTAGGGTGTAACAGCCTATCGCCAGGGACTTTGACGATAGAAAACATCCCTTTCGCGAGTGACGAATCTAGGACGCAAATGGAGGGTAAGCTCAACTTCAAATACGCTAATTTTTGTTAGAGGTAGTGCAGCGAGATGCAATAAGATGGCTGGAAGTTGCTATTTTCTAGGCTAGGCCTAACTAGTGTGCTTGGTGGATTTTTTTTTGGCGATTTTTTAGGGCAGGCTTGAGCCTGTTCAAGCCTGTTGAGTACAATCGCCACTGGCCTGTACACCCCTATCGCCAAGGTGCTCGGCGGTAGGCACGAGCACGCACTGTATTCAATATTTAGGAGGATTTTACGATAGGGTATGCAACCCTACCGTCAGGGACCTTGGCGGTAGGCTGTTATATCCTACCGTCATGGACCCTGGCGATAGCAAAAAGGTCAGATCTCGAAAAAGTTTCAAATTAGGGTTAGATCTCGAATAGGTTTCCAAAAAGGGGTACCGCCATGGACCCTGGCGGTAGTAAAAGGGTCATATCTCAAAAAAAAAATCAAACTAGGATCAGATCTCGAATAGGTTTTCAAAAAGGGTCAAAACGCAAAATTTAGCCACCGTTGGTGCACATGATCGCAGGATGCCATACAACCAGATGGTGAACACCACAAGGAATTCACGAGCTCCTCACCTCAACCACGACCTCTGCCTTTTCATTGAAGAATTGACTAATTAACTAGGAACCGCCTATAGTCAGATAACTGAAAAATATTTCAGTGTTGGTTACTTTCTCTCTTGATCGTTCGATCAGCACCCAACGGTTAGCAGCGCGCACCCTAACCACCTGCCACTGCCGCCCCGCCCCGCCCTCACCCCTCCCCTCCCCCAAGCCTGCTGGCCACCGCCCCGGCCACCCCACTAAAACCCGTTGATCTATAGTACCCAAGCGACCCCCCTCCCCGCACTATCCGAGCCCAACCCCATCCCAACAACGTCCACCGACCATGTTGGCAAGGTGACATATCGTGACAGAAGCTCGCCTGACTAGGTGAAGGCCTCCAAAGGTGACGCCTCGTGGGAGTAACTGATGATGACGCCACCATCACTTACTCCGACGTAGTTTGCATTCACACCTATCCAAGGGGTTGTCCCTATTATAAATAGGCTAGCTCTTCCCCTCATGGGAGAATTTTGCCATTGTTATCGAAAACCAAATACATAGACTCCTCCTGAGATTGAAGAGCTCTTGTTATCCTTATTCTCGTGATTCCTTGAAAAGTCGCTCCTAATCTGTGCTCCATGACTGTGTGGGTTAGAGTTCGTGGTTTCCCTTGCGGATTGCACCTATCTCGTGCTCCACGACTTCATGATTGTGTGGGGTGGTATTGTGGGTTTTGGATTGGCGAATGCTTGGATTGCAGGCTATGGTTAGTATCCTCCTTGTCGGGTCATAATCTCTTGTTTTCATTTTCGGCTATTGCAGCTAGTTATCCCCTTTGTTCATCGACCCTATGCCGTGAAGATCGGACCGCCCCTTGTACATCCTCTTCTCCGAAGACGGTGTCGCATCAAATACTTTAGAAGTTTTTCGTAGTGTGATCGCCAAATGTCCGGCTCTCCTCTGGATGTCCGGGGCCTCCCCAGATATTCGACCACCAGTATCCAACAGCATGTCTATGATTGTGGGTGTGCTCACCGATGTCCGGCACACTGCCAGATGTTCGGGAGTTCCTGATCAGCCGTATGTTTGGGCCCTCCTCTGGATATCCGGGCATTCTATTTTTCCTCTCACTGGTACATTTTGTGTGGCTGTTCCAAACTACGCCGGATGTCCAGCCCGGCCCATCCACTTATGCTCCAATGACCATTTTTGCACCACCACTATAAATAGCCTTCCTCCACTCCAGGAGAAGGTTGACCATTCACTTTGAGCTAACCCCATAACACATTTCACTCTCTCTCACATCCTCATACACCAAATCCTAGATCCCAGAGGGATTTGTGAGCGTTCTTGAGAAGTTGTCCAATCAAGAGATAGATCCACTCATTCCCCTTCACTTGACCAAAGGAATTCGTGAGCAAGTCTTGAGCTTTTCCCCATCGTACTTATTACTCTTGGAGGTTGGAGACTCCTAGGTGGTAACAATTCTTTGCTGAGGAATCGTTCATTGTGATTACCCCCGGAAAGTTTGTGAGGGTTTGGAGACCACTCCAAGGTCTACTGCTAGTGGTTGGGAATCGCCTTCATGGTGATATCTCAAGAAGAGAAAAGGGTGAGCCTTCATGGTGTTGGTGTGCCTTCGTGGTAACATCCAACTCTCTAAACAGTGACATAGCTTCCCTCCAAGGAAGTGAACATCGGCATACATACTCATCTCTTGGAGTTGCGTTTATTCCTAACCCTAGCTCCCTACTTGTGGTTATTTATCTCTTAGTCTTTATTTGCATTATATTGTACTCCCTCTGTAAACTAATATAAGGGCGTTTAAATCATTATTTTAGTATTCTAAACACTCTTATATTAGTTTATGGAGGCAGTACTTGTCTATTGCTAGCTCTTGAGCATGCGTTGGTTTTCCCTTGAAGAGGAAAGGGTGATGCAGCAAAGTAGCATAAGTATTTCCCTCAGTTTTTGAGAACCAAGGTATCAATCCAGTAGGAGACTACACGCAAGTCGCCTAGTATCTGCACAAACAATCAAGAACCTTGCAACCAACGTGATAAAGGGGTTGTCAATCCCTTCACGACCACTTGCAAAAGTGAGATCTAATAAAGATAATAAGATAAATATTTTTGGTATTTTTGTTGTATAGATTGAAAAGTAAAGATTGCAAAATAAAATAAATAGTAAACTAGAATTGTAGATCAGAAACTTATATGATATAAAATAGACCCGGGGGCCATAAGTTTCACTAGTGGCTTCTCCCATGATAACATGTATTATGGTGGGTGAACAAATTGAAGGAAATATGCCCTAGAGGCAACAATAAAGTTATTATTTATTTCCTTATATCATGATAAATGTTTATTATTCATGCTAGAATTGTATTAACCGGAAACATGATACATGTGTGAATACATAGACAAACAGAGTGTCACTAGTATGCCTCTACTTGACTAGCTCGTTGATCAAAGATGGTTATGTCTCCTAGCCATAGACATGAGTTGTCATTTGATTAACGGGATCACATCATTAGGAGAATGATGTGATTGACTTGACCCATTCTGTTAGCTTAGCACTTGATCGTTTAGTATGTTACTATTGCTTTCTTCATGACTTATACACGTTCCTATGACTATGAGATTATGCAACTCCCGTTTACCGGAGGAACACTTTGTGTGCTACCAAACGTCACAACGTAACTTGGTGATTATAAAGGTGCTCTATAGGTGTCTCCGAAGGTACTTGTTGAGTTGGCGTATTTCAAGATTAGGATTTGTCACTCCGATTGTCGGAGAGGTATCTCTGGGCCCACTCGGTAATGCACATCACTATAGGCCTTGCAAGCATTGTAACTAATGAGTTAGTTGTGGGATGATGTATTACGGAACGAGTAAAGAGACTTTCCGGTAACGAGATTGAACTAGGTATTGAGATACCGACGATCGAATCTCGGGCAAGTAACATAGCGATGACAAAGGGAACAACATATGTTGTTATGCGGTTTGACCAATAAAGATCTTCGTAGGATATTGGGAGCCAATATGAACATCCAGGTTCCGCTATTGGTTATTGACCGGAGACGTGTCTCGGTCATGTCTACATAGTTCTCGAACCCGTAGGGTCCACACGCTTAAAGTTTGGTGACGATCAGTATGATGAGTTTTTGTGTTTTGATGTACTGAAGGTAGTTCGGAGTCCCGGATATGATGACGGACATGACGAGGAGTCTCGAAATGGTCGAGACGTAAAGATCGATATATTGGACGACTATGTTAGGACATCGGAAAGGTTCCGGAAGGTTTCGGGCATATACCGAAGTACCGGGGGGTTACCGAAACCCCCAGGGGGCTTAATGGGCCTACATGGGCCTTAGTGGAAATAGAGGGCAGCAAGGGGAGTGTGGGGCGCACCCCCCAACACTTGG